TTTCATTACAGAGATTAAGGAATGAAACGGGAGTTGAAGGATGGGGAATTTAATTCTCCATTGAACAGTCTTTGTTTCATCCCTTAATATTAATTAGTCGGCGAATAAATCAACTGAAAAACATAAAGTAAACATTGAGTACAAGGAGGACAAAAATCACCCTCCGAACCTGTCCCTGTGACAGCGGGACCGCTACTGCCGAGTTACCCACGCACACGACTCACATTCACCGACAATTCGACCGGGACGCCACCTTTCCCGTGGGGTACCAACTAAATTTACTTAGGGTCACTCAAACCCTCGATCCGGGCCTCTACTCAGGTCTATCCTCTTTGCCGCCACTAGCAAACGTTGAACCGTAAATGATTGATCCTGATGAAATATCGCATTATCAATCATTGATAGTTATTGATTTGAAAACTACAAACGATTTCGCTTCGAGTCAAAAAAAATGGAAAAAATATTCATTTTTTATGTTTGTCGGCTAAACACATGGGCGAAGTTTGATTAATTTTTTATAATTCAATAAATTATTATTAAACGTTATTAAATGCACTTCAATCATCGGCAAACGATTAGCAATCGATTCAATAAGTGCATTAATTGAAAAATTAATATCGGTCGGCTAAACCCATGTCAATGCGGAAAGCGCCTATGTGGGGGGCAAGTTACATGCGTCGGTAAAAACGGTCCTCCTCAACTCGCCGTCGAAAGCGAGGGCGCTCAAGGCGAAAAAGATTATCTATTTGTCAATGGAGAATAGAGCCCAGGAGCAGAGATTATAAGGGAGATTGCTAGCGCCTATGGAAACGCTTCAACCACAAAATTTCGTAGCGAGTACGTACCTGTAAGTAAAACAGGGAGCGTGTGAGAGCATCGATAACGGCGCAGAGTGGGGGGAATCGGCGGGCGGAGCGAGCGGTGATGTTCGCTGTCGAGTAGGTGAGGAAAACCTACCGCAGTTCGAAACGCCGACGGGCGGCGGAATCCTGTCCTTAATATAACAATCAATTTCTCCTTCCCTAATGAGGACGAAGGGATGAAACGGTTGCCAATCGATTGAAAATTGAATCCTCAACTGATTGCGATCTGTTTTATCCCTTCATCTGAATTAGAGGGGGAGAAACGAATATTTATGGATCGAGTGAGTCCCCAAACGGCTCTCGCCATTGAAAAATCCATTTCTCCTCCCCCAGCAGAGATTAAGGGATGAAACTGGTGACAATCGATTGAGAATTGGATCCTCAAC